ATCAATGCTGGATGTAGTACGAAGTTCGTCTGCAGGACTCAGTACTTATGTAGATTTTTGACCTGCTACTGTGTATTTCTACTCAGGTTGTTTTGGGGAAAGTACTTCTACTTGTGTAATTATTTTATTCAAGTATCAACACTTTTACTTGAGTACTGATTTAGGCTCCCCTCCTCTGAACTTGATCAACTGTGTCAGTGTTAGTTTTGATGCTGCTTCAGTAGCTGCAGCCTCAGATAGTAGTATTTGTTCTCTAACATCTCTGAGGAACATCAGACAGGTTTTCATACCCAGTTCACTTTCCAAAGATCACAGTTTGCTTTTTGTGATTTTATCTCTTTCATTTGGTTCAGATGATGGACTGCAAGGGCTAAAGTGAACTAAATTACACATGTGGGTGTTTGTTTATTGATCAGGCGTTTTGCAGGGAAGGTGGTGTTACTCACCACCATGAAAACAGAGAATCAGAATATAGAGACGCGTATCGTCTTTGTGTTTGCCACTTTAAACTGAACCATTCGGGTCAAACGCATAGCATTATTTATTGCTTGTCTCTCGTTATTTACAGCAGCCTGCAATGCAGGAATGATAAGAGCGTTTGTAAAGAGTAACATGTTAAGCAGCAGATTTTGCAGACACAAAAAAGTACAGCAAAAATGTGCTCTGGTGCCGAATTTCCTCGTGAATTAGCACTGTTCAGTTGTTTGGTGCTGCCTGAATTCGGATGGAGCCGCAGGTCAAAACCAGACTAAAGAAACGGTTCGACAGGTCTGAAAGCTCCTCCCAGGTGGAATGGATAGTCTGATTATCTCTGCCCCTGATTTTTACTCTGCCTGTTCGTGCTGATTAGTGCTTCATGCAGTTTAGTGAAAGCAGAGGTTTTATGTGCATCTTGACCTCAAAAGGTAGTGGGGCGTCACCCCCGGTACTTTCAAACGTGGTGGGTCAAATGCCCTATTCTGGTGGCCCTGTCTAACTGTCCCAAAACTTTGACTGGTCACTGTTGGAGATCTTTCAGCGTCATGACCCCAAACTATGGAAGTCATTACTACAACTCTGAGACTGTCCCTCACTTTTCTCCTTCAAAGCTTAGCTTAAAACCTGCCTCTCTTCTCAGCACTTTCATTCCTCTCCTCACTGATGTATTTTTTTTCCTGCCTCTGTAAGTAAATAACCTTGGGTTTGAGAAAGGCACTATATAAATTGTACATATTGTTGTTAATATTATTATTATTATATAATAATAATAATAATAATAATAATAATAATAATAATACTTTTCACAGAAGAAAGCAACAGTGACAAGAAGCTGATGTGCAGTAAACTGAACCAAACACAGAGAAGATGGTTGGAGGATGTTTAATACGCTGAGGGGATGACATCGCTTTGCCAAAAACAGCAGAGGATTATGGATCCGGGCCATCAAAACAGAACTAATTTATTGAGGTAATCAGTGCAGCTACCTGAGCTCCCATTGTAATCTGTGCCAGCTATTTCCTCACTGCCCCAGACCTAACAAGCTGTCATGTGTCTCATGTTTTCTGCACTATGTTTACAGTAGCCGTCAAATTCAATTATGGTGGGTTGTAAAGTAACGCCACCACCACAGTCCTGATAGTGTCAAATAAGGAGAGAACACACAGGCTCAACAAACAACTAAACCAGGTAATTTGGGCGAAATTCATAGGACATGTCAGGTAGCTATAAAGGTTTTGGGGACCACTTTAAAATAAGACTACCCTGTTAAATGGTTCATGAATGGCTTAAAATTGGTTTATTAATGGTTATTCATTAAGTCTTACAGACCTTAAAATCATTAATAAGCATTTACAACAGCCATCAAAAATAGTCTATTAAAAAAATTAAAGAATTAAAAACCTTTTTAGATACCTGACATGTCCCATGAAATTCGCTCAAATTTCTTTCTTTTTTTTAAGTTGGGGGAAGCAGTCGGAGAGTTAGGGTGGGGTGGTGGGTTTGGAGGTAAGGTGGGGGGATGGGTTTGGGGGTTGTTGGGTACTCAGGGATCTAGCTGATGGGGGGGAGATAGTTTTAAGGTATCAGGGAATCGTTACTGTTGTGATATTTAAAGCAGATGAATAAAAAGAACAAAAAATAGTCTATTAAACAAACAGATTATAAGAGCTGTTACTAACATTGTAAATGTAACTGACATTTTACATTTGGCTTTGCAAATGAGCATCCTCTACTCTGCTGATGTCTGGAGCTTCAAATTTGAAGTACATTCAAAAGAACTCACATTAGCTCACTGCTAAAACCTGAAGGCTCGACCACAAAGGCAGATAAGGTGTTAAATAACAACACTTACCTTTTTACCAATTCTAACACATTTTGTGAGATATTGATTTTCTCTTTTTACACATTCTGTTTGCTGTCTAATGACGTTGCGTTGGCAGCGGTTTGAAAAGATGTGGTGGTGTTTCACAGGTCTTGGAGGACACCTGTGTTGGCTTTCACCCTCCTAGTGCTGGTAGTGTTCTGTGACTGGGGGAGTCCTGACTAGTGGGTGGAATTGGATACGACTAAATTGGGAAAAAACTAGGGGAAAAACCCTTTCATCATGCAAAGAGTTCTTTGAGTGTTTATGGTTGTATATAGAACCATTTATTTACCAAAGAACCCTTGAAGAACCATCTTTTTTACCAGTAAACACTAAACTGAACACACTAATATGTGTAGTTAAGGACAAAACATGTCAATTTTAATTTTAATTTTTATTTTTTTCCACAGTGCTGCTAGTAAATTTTCTGCCGAGAGTCAATATTTGTTAGGGATTTCTCATAATTGCTCGCGGGGCCCCCTAGTGGCTTGGGCCCCTGGGAATGCACCCATAGACCCACTGGATGGTCCAGGCCTGGCTGTTAGAGACAATATTAAAAAAGCCCTTCTTCCCCCAAAGATGAGGTTGAGGGTGTACTTAGAAAAAGCACTGTGGTGGCTGCTGCTTAAGTGCTTTAGTAGAGCTCCACAGTGGGAGATCTGGTTGAGTTTTACTGCAAAGGTTGGAAGCTGTCGTGCAGCAAAAGAGACCCAGAAATCAAGTGTAAACTGTTTACAATGCTACTCACATTGAGAGAAAAGTAAGTAAAAGTTAAGGGAAAAAAATCAATGTTATTAGGTGACTTTATAATTCTGTTGCAGTAGAATTAAATGACACAGTAGATCACACATTAAAGACTCTGAAGCTTATAGACAGAAGAGGATGAGCCAGTGTTTTGATCAGTGGGTGCTCTTATTCTCAGTCTATAGCACAGTCAGTCCAAGCAACAAGTCGAGCAAGTCACTGATGATTCTAATAATGAACAGCAGCTATTAGCCAGTATGTCGCTGTTGTCCAAATGGTAACTTTACAGGAGAAGGTAAAAACATACTTTACTTCTAATGTAAGTCAATGGAACCAGACTTTTTTCCAAGTAATTTTGGGCCATTTATTTTGGTTCATTCATTATAAAGTTTACACATCTTGTAAAGGGCAACAGGTATTTTCAAATTATGTCAGAAACTGAAAAATGACAAAAATGGAAATACAAGGTTTTCTTCCAACAGCAGCGAAATATTGTGCCAATGACATCATTACATTACTGACTAATTTCAAGTAGTAGCGCTTTAGATAAGTTTCCTTTAAGGATGAGTCTTGCTGATGTTCAGCCAGTTTGGAAAAGATGTGGCACTGAAAGATTTGTATTGGATGCATTTACTATACACTAAACTTTGAATGGCATTAAACAAATTTGTTTATTTTTGAGACAAAAGCAATGCATTTCCACTCAGGCAACAGTTTATAATGACTTCTGTTAGGCCAGGGGTGTCCAAACTTTTTTCAAAGAGGGCCAGATTGTACCACGTGAAAATACCTGAGGGCCGAAATATTCAAATCATCACTAGGGTTCTGCTGCAGTACTTGGGTTCTGCTGCAGTACAATGATCCAAAACACACCAGCAAGTCCTTTGAATGGCTTAAGAAAAACAAAATTAAGATTTTGGAGTGGTCTAGTCAAAGTCCTGACCTGAATCCGATTGAGATGCCGTGGCATGACCTTAAAAAGGCGGTTCATGGTCAGAAACCCTCCAATGTGGCTGAATTACAACAATTCTGCAAAGATGAGTGGCCAAAAGCTCCTCCACAGCGCTGTAAAAGACTCATTGCCAGTTATCACAAATGGTTGATTGCAGTTGTTGGATTTCTTTTTCCCTTAATAATAAAGACCTTCATTTATATTTTTCACACCACTGTGTGTGTGTGGTGTGTGTATATATATATATATATATATATATATATATATATATATATAGAGAGAGAGAGAGAGAGAGAGATAAATATATTTTAAATTAACATTGATATATATTTCCCATGACCCAAGAGGATCAGCGATTGTATAATTATTCAAAATATGAAGTTTTCAAAAAATCAGCAAATAGAATCACAGCTTTCAGTGAGCTACCGTGTTTCCTTTCACTGTATAAAAGATGCACAAGGCCTCTTTTGGCTCAGAGCAATTTGGGTAACTGCATATGCTAAATTATTAACAATAAAGTAACAATAAAACGTGTCTAATTCTGATTGGATAATTAGGCACTTTTGTTTCCAGCCAAAACTTAATGAAATAAGAGTATTATTACAAAAAGTGTTGAGTTTAAAGACAACAAGCCTGATCATTATATTGAGTAGAAACATGCTAAAATTACATTTGTAGTTTTTAATAAGCCTCCTCTGAGGGCCTAGAAGGCCCCAAGGTTTTCCCTCTGTATTATAATATATTAATAGCTAATATTCTTAGAGAATTTATTAAATTAGATTGCACCGAAATGTGGTGCATAATAAACATCCACTATTACAAATAAGCATAAAGACAATTTTTGCAAATGCTCTGCAGAGCAGCTTTACAGTTCTGACACCAACAACACACACTGTGTCTGGGAATGTGTTCCCTGCTTTTATATGAGGCTCTCGTAAAGTAAGGTGAATATTAAAGGCTCACCTTGTACTGGTAGCGATTTGAGACACTGTCTTGGTGTCTCTGGAAGGGATTTGGTAAGTTTTCTTCTCCTCTGACATCATCCAGTCTTGACGTGACAGTGGCGGGTCTTATAACTCCAGGCTTTGTCTGAAGTAAAGATAAAGCAGTATTAGTGTAGCATCCTGCGCCCAAAATGGACTGACCTTTCTATAACTTCATGTCTCTGACATTTTTCCCACTGTGGTTTACAGTGTACTGTTTTCTCATCTGTGGATACTCCGACTATAACTGTTGATCAATAACACATCACATAGATTTCAATATCAAAGGCAAGAAATTGAAATTTTTAGCATAGGGTTCCATCTGCAGTCATTAGATGGCATGGTTTGGCTTGATGTCGGCATCTATCGCCTGAGGAGACATTTCTTTTAATGTTTGAGGAGTTTTCTTTAGACATGTCAGATAACTTTTGATTAGCAGTGCTTTGCAGAAATTAGCCCTGAATGCAAATCAGCTCTCCATATTTGAATTAATGTCAGTCAAAGTATATATATATATATATATATACACACACACATACACACACACACACAGTGGTGTATGCCCCTTCCTGATTTCTTATTCTTTTGCATGTTTGTCACACTTAAATGTTTCAGATCACCAAATTTAAACATTACACAAAGATAACACAAGTAAACACAAAATGCAGTTTATAAAAACCTACAGGGCCCTGTGTGAAAAAGTGATTGCCACCCTGGCCATCTTTTCGTGACCTCAAGCTGAAGCGCACTTGGGTTCTGCTGCAGTACAATGATCCAAAACACACCAGCAAGTCCACCTCTGAATGGCTTATGAAAAACAAAATTAAGCCTTTGGAGTGGCCTAGTCAAAGTCCTGACCTGTATCCGATTGAGATGCCGTGGCATGACCTTAAAAAGGCGGTTTATGGTCAGAAACCCTCCAATGTGGCTGAATTACAACAATTCTGCAAAGATGAGTGGCCAAAGCTCCTCCACAGCGCTGTAAAAGACTCACTGCCAGTTTTCACAAACGCTTGATTGCAGTTGTTGCTGCTAAGGGTGGCCCAACCAGTTACTAGGTTTAGGGGGCAATCACTTTTTCACACAGGGCCCTGTAGGTTTGGATTTCTTTTTCCCTTAATAATAAAGACCTTAATTTATAAACTGCATTTTGTGTTTACTTGTATTTATCTTTGTCTAATATTTAAATTTGTTTGGTGATCTGAAACATTTAAGTGTGACAAACATGCAAAAGAATATTTAATACATTAAACTTTAATACATTTTAAATTAACATTGATATATATATTTCCTGTGACCCAAGAGGATCAGCAACTTAGATAATGTATGTTTGCGTGTGATTTATACAGAATAAGCTCATACATGTTGAATAAACGTTAACTTTTAGAACCTTAGGGTAATTTTGCTTGACATTTTGGTATTTTGGTCAATTACAATGTGGCCAATTTGAATAATCTTGATAAAAGTTTAATCAGCACCAGCAAAACATTGTAAATCTTTGCCTATACAGATGTTGAAAATAAGTGTCACCTCAGACACCGAAATTCTTAGTCTAGAGTGTCTATGAGCTGAAAACACTGGAATAAATAATTAGCATGAGGCGAACATGTTTTTTATTGATTTTTCTGTCCTCTTGGATTCATCCTGAGTGCTAAAACTTATACACGGCAGGACAGACTTTATTTGTTATTTCAAATTAAGCAGCATGTTTATTATCAGCTGTTTTTAATACTCAAAACCAATCTAAATTGAAAGACGGCTAAGTATTATTAATTTTATTTATTCTATTTATTGTTATTTATCTGTATTGTATTATATATATTTATCTATATAACTATATTAATGTTCATTCAATATAAACTTTGAAGTTTGATATATATTGAATGAACATCGATATATATTGAATGAAGTTAGTTACAGTAGGTGTGTGTGTTTGGTAACCGTCAGGAGAAAGAGCAGTGACCAGTGTTGATTTTAGCTGTTTTTCAAGTGGCATTTCTGCCTTGTTCCTAATTACAAAGGAGGAATCACTGTACTGTTCTGATAAAAAAAAAACACCCATTCAGCTCCACCTGGTGTTTGTTGATGCCCATTTGTTGATTTGAACAGTTCATATTAGTGTTGTTTTTAGAATTGTTACATTTTATTGCCAATATGTCAATGTTCATTCAATTAAAATCAATGTTTATTCCATATCAAGTTAATTGAATGCATTACGTATAATATATATATATATATATATATATATATATATACCCCTCTTACTACAGCACTTAGAAAATCATAACCCATTCAAAGAAAGTGAAGATTCTTACCAGTGTTCTTTCTGAAGGTCCAGGAACTTGATGGTGAGCCTGGAAGAACAAAAGAATGAGCTATAAGAGAAACCTCCATTATTTGGTTGGGCAGCTATAAAGGACTATAAAAGTGTCCTAGACAGCCATGATATTTATAGATATAAGATAATCTATCTGCATGGGGAGTGTCACAGGAAAACAAGTGAAAACACAGGAGCTCCAGAGAAAATGGGACCACCTGGAAGACCTGGTAGACACCAAAACTGCCCCATCAGATAAACAGCACTTAAAGCTTTCATCTCTGAAAGAGAGGAGAAAATCAAGCTGCTTCAGATCTGAAAACATCCTCAGGTGTTTCTGTCCATCCTTCCACTGTGAGAAGACGACTCAGCGCTGTGGGTCTGAAAGGATGTGTAGCTGTCGAGAAGAACCTCACTGAGAAAAGGAGACGGACACCTCAAACAAAGAAGCTGAACGATGGACTGACCACCCCAGAGTCCAGATCTCAACACCACTGAATGTGTTTGATTACTTCAGAAAATGATCAACCAGCTTCTAAGACTGAACTTTGGAGGTGTGTCTGCAGATTCTTTGAGGGACTGAAAGTGAGTCTCCTGAAAAGAATGGAAGCTGGAATGACGGTAAACAGTGGACACACTAAACACTAATAAAAAACATCCTGAAAAATGAATACCTTGCACTCAAAAGGCTTTTTTGACTGGTAATTAAATTAATGAAGGGTGGTTTTTGCACAGAGCCTTCTACAGTCATAAAACAGTGTACAGCATCAAGTCATGTTGTTTATTCTGCTAAAAGCCTGACAGCAAATGACAAACTTAATCTATCAGGTGCATTCACAAAAACCTAATTGCTACTTCAGTTCAGATTTAGCTCCCTCCGGAAACAGTAAGTCTGGAAACTGAAGTAAATGAATGAAGGGCTCTCAGCTTGATTGCAGTCACTCAAAAAGAAATATTTTTATACAACAAGTATGCAATGTTCTGATTCACTGGCAGTAATCAGGCTTACCTTCAGCTTTAGTCGTAGGAGTCATGATTCAGCTTCTATACATAACTTTGCAGGTTTAGGATTGTGTGAATGTATAAGCTCCTTAAACTCCTCTATTTCTAAGCACAAACCAGAGACATATGTCTGTGTATGTAATAGGTATATGTATTTTGTATGCATTACAAAACACAGACAAAAAACTATGAATTTTTCAGTTTTTGACTACTTAAAAATGCCTGTTGACCTTCACATTGTGTGTAAAAGGACCAAAAGAAAAGGCCCAAAATGACTGGTTACATTGACTTAGATCAGTGGTCGGCAACCCAAATGTTAAGAAGAGCCATTTTGTCCTTTCAACAAAAATCAAACCACCTTGGGAGCCACAACACTTTATGTCCATTTTATTGAAGTAACATTTATCATCAAATACATCTTAATATGTGCTGATGTCCTGGTATAGACTAAGAAAATATAAATGAAAATGCAGACTTACTTTGCTCTGCTTTAAGCTTTAGTTCATCTATGGCTGCTTTTCTCGCATCTCCAGCAGGAAACTTTTGCAAAAGTAGAACAGTTTCTTGTACAATGTTTCTCAATGTTTGATGTTTTATGATGCTGAAGTCAGTAATTTTCCTGTTCCACCTTAAATGATGCCTGAGGTTGGCAGAATGTAACTGCTGCACCATTTAAGGTGGAACAAGAACATTTGAATGAGAAGCTGGCTTATGAGAAACAGACTTCTGCAAATAAGTCGATTCGTCTCCAAATTATCGATGTTTGCCTTAAATCCTTCTCTTTCCCTTTTCGTTAGCTACTAGCTAGGTGATTTGTTGTCTGCGTTGCTATGGGGACCAGTAGTCTGCGCACCAACCTTCAGGGTTAAAGGGTGAATTAGCAGTTCTACATTAACTCCAGAGTTTAGGACCATTTATTGTTAAAACTGTGTTGAACGATCAGCAGAGCTTTATTTTACTGCAAAGGAGGATTTTCCTTCTCATGTTAAGTTACCATTTTGGAGATACAAGCTTTTGTACGGACAGTAGCGACTTTTGTATCATTGTACACTAAATATAAGATAATGCAAATAAATCCATTTTATTTACTATCCAAAACTACTCATGAACCTACCTGTGTCTATAAAAACTCCTGTACGTTTTTATAGGTAATATTGATGATGGTAAAATAGTGGAAAATCTGAAAAAACTAAATTTTCTTAGTGGACTATTTTGCATCACAACACCCTGCAAGTATCCCTCCGCCACAAAAGTGTCTTAAAATACATTTTAGGCCAAAATCTTCTTAAAACTATCACAAAACAATGTCTTAGACACCAGACAATGTATTCATAACCATTTAATGTAATAACTTTCTGCGACGCAGCTTTTAGAGGTGGACGTCTGGTTCCTATCACCACCACTGTTAACAATTCTGACTCTAAGTTTCTCTGTAATGGAGCATTTCACCCCAAACCACTCTGAATGACTCTGTTTACATCTTAACCACTTAATAATTATACAGATGTTTCGAAAGGCTGGTGAAATTCCCTGTCAATGCCAGGTGTGAATGGGACCTGAGTAATAAAAGAAGAACACTGTTTTCGTTCTTTGGGTTCTGTATCTAGTAAATTAAATTTCACATGAAACAAAGAAAGTTAGTGCAGACTGTCAACTTTAATACAAGAGTAGTATGTGGGAATACAGCCATCTTTACTCATTTTAGGGAACCAAAACTAACAGGGCTGTTTGCTGCTCTGTTAATTCTGGGACCAGTTGTGTAGTGCTGCATCAGTAGTGCACACATTAGAGAGCTAACAAAAGATTTAGAGCTCTAGACGTGGTATAGATGTCTAGGTTCTGATGCGATGCATCTCAACAAGAGGACATTGTCAATCGGAAGTCAATGCTTGTAAATTAGGCCATCAATTGGAAACCAAAACACGCATCTCAAAATTGCATGCTAATGAGCAAGAATGTACTGGTAACCATAGAAATAGCAATGGACTTGGCAGACCACAGTGGTAGAAGACCATAAAGTGAAAAATATAACGTATTATGCTGGCAAGGTTCACCATAAGATGCAAAAAAAGGGGTAAGTCTCCAGAACAGAAAGGCCAGGGTGCTGTTACCTAGGTAATAAGTAGCCTTGTGGCTTTGGAACAAAGATCTAGGAATAATAAATGAATGAATTCGTAATGGAACAGAAGCATCTTAGCTGCTCAGGTCCAACCGAGGGCCTCATAATCCACCTTGCAGTAAAACAACCACTGAAACAACCAAATGGAGTTTTTTTAGGGTCAAAAAGTGGAAATTTCAGGTGTGAATCACTCAACCTGAACCCCAAAGAGAATGAATTTCACTAACTAAAGACAAGACCAAAGGCAAGATCTCCCAAAACAAGCAAGAACCGAGAACTGATGCAATACGAGCCCAACAGAGAATCCCTGATGAGGGTATCCAGCTTCTGCTGAGGTATAAGGTTGCAGACTTCTGGGATTGACTGCAAAGGATCTGCACCAAACTCCTGTGTGTTTATGTGTAAAGAGCTAAAAAAATTTTGTTGACATTCTGTACTTTAACACTGTCAGTGTTTGACAGTAAGAAAGTGCATGTACTTCAGTAGGGAAGCACGGGGAACAACCTAACGCTGGGCACAATTTAACACAGACGTTTTACATTATTATACAAAGCCAAGCAGCGTGAGCTTCTGGACACATTATCACCATTCCTAGCCGCAGCCTCCCACCAAAATTCAGAGCGATTTGTTATCATTTTAAAGAAATCTATGCCAAAAAGTGAGCTGTTTGTGTAAATCACAAATTCCAACCTTATATCACTTTAATCACCATCTTGTTTCTTACAATGCAGCACTGTTTTGAAGCAGCTGACAAGCTCACAGCAAGTTCTAGTTAGGGTTACGTACTGTAATAAAATAAAATATTAATATGTGCTGATGTCCTGGTATAGACTAAGAAAATATAAATGAAAATGCAGACTTACTTTGCTCTGCTTTAAGCTTTAGTTCATCTATAGCTGCTTTTTTCGCATCTCCAGCAAGAAACTTTTCCAAAAGTAGAACAGTTTCTTATACAATGTTGCTGAATGTTTGATGTTGTTTTACGATGCTGAAGTCAGTAATTTTCCTGTTCCACCTTAAATGGTGCTTGGGGTGGCAGAATGTACCTGCGGCACCATTTAAGGTGAAACAAGAACATTTGAACGAGAAGATGGCTTATGAGAAACAGACTTCAGCTTTGTGGCTTTTTAGTGTTTGACAGTTTCTCATTCCAGATTAAACGTATCAGGAAACCAGCTGGAGTGATTATAAATGCAAATAAGTCGATTCGTCTCCAATTTATCGATGTTTGCCTTAAATCCTTCTCTTTGCCTTTTCGTTTGCTACTAGCTAGGTGATTTGTTGTCTGTGTTGCTATGGTGACCAGCAGTCTGCGCTGATCTTCAGGGTTAAAGGGTGAATTAGCAGTTCTACATTAACTCCAGAGTTTAGGACCATTTACTGTTAAAACTGTGTTGAACGATCAGCAGAGCTTTATTTTACTGTAAAGCAGGTTTATTTTATTTTTTATTATTTATCTAATTCTGCTGTGGAGGTGCAACAGGGCAGTAAAAGAGCCGCTAGTTGCCAAACCCGACCCTGAAAACAGCTTTTACGCTTGACCAAATGTACCGAACTTGCAGAGCAAGCAGAGGTGGGTCCAAAGCAAAGTATGTCATCATTTTAAAGAAATCTATGCCAAAAAGTCAGCTGTTTGTGTAAATCACAAAATCCAACCTTATATCACTTTAATCACCATCTTGTTTCTTACAGTGCAGCACTGTTCTGAAGCAGCTGACAAGCTCACAGCAAGTGCTAGTTAGGGTTACGTACTGCCTCTGTACTGCGGGGTTCGTTCTTACACAGCGCTACAGCTCAGACACCTTTAGTAAATAAAGACAAATTAAGTAAATTTGGTCTTTTTGTTTCACATGTTTACGTAGATTTTAATATCAAAAAGAGAAACATCTGAAATCAGGGATTTTCCTCTGCTTTATTAGTGTCTTTCAGTATATTAATGAAGTTGACATTAACAGTTGGTAAAGCTGTAGTTATTCAGAAACAATGTTCATATTTTACTGATGTGATGTTTTTTATTTGCTGTCATGTCAGTCTTTTGTCAGTTTACATATATAATTTGGTGTGTGTGTGTGTGTGTGTGTGTGTGTGTGTGTGTGTGTGTATCAGTCAGTTGAGCTGTCTTATAGATGATAACATGTAATGCAGTTTGGTTAGAAAACATATTTGTCTCTTACAAAGAGAATTATATTGAATAAACTTTGCGTTCATTCGTCAGACGTTTCTAGCAGGTGTTAAACTGACCCTCTGTCTGTTACAGTGAACCCACCCATGGGCTTAATTGTAACACTACACCTCCCATCGTTTTTGGTGGAATTGTACATGAACAGTAGGAGCTAGAAACAAAGTTCAAGTGTTTGTTTGTAGTAGTGATGTATATGTTGCTTGTATAAAAACATGATTACGTCATGATAACGTCAATTTTTTTAATTATTCCGCAAAAATCTAAAATTATCTGTACTTTCATTCCACTACATTTCAATATATATATATATATATATATATATATATATATATATATATATATATATTACTCCACTACATCCTGCAGCATACATGATTTACTTTACTTTGGTGGAAATTGATTGAAAAATATTGATACGAAAAATAATGATATGAAAAATAAAAAAGGTTGATTTTAGTCCTCAGGCATGAACATTGATTGACAGGCTGTCATTTGGTCACACACAGTAGGCGATACATTGATTATGAACTGCAAAAGGTCAAAGCAATCCGGCGCTTATTTTAGAAAGAAAGAATACGATTGAAAAGAGAACTAATATGTCATGTCATCATGAATATTTTTTTTTTTTCTTATTTACTGGCAATACATGTGCTAAGAGGACATCAATGGGGGGCACAGTGTTATTTTACATATTAGAGCAGAAATATTACTCTGCTATGTGGGCTTACAACTGACTAGTGAGGTTAGTTAATGTTACATAGCCAGCTGCCTACAATCCAGCTAATCTATGTCTTAATAACACAGTAGGAACCCAAAAATACAAGCTACACACAGCAACTCAACAGCAATCAATTCTGAGAATTGGGCAACAGCCTTCTAAACCTGTTTAAATGTGCTGCCAGAGGCATTACAGAGCATTGATGTATACATTGGACATAGAAAGATGTATCAGCAGGGCGCAGGAAGTGTGCCGAGGGTGCTGCAGCACACCGAATTCAGGGTTGCAACTGTTAAAAATAATAATATCACTAAAACGTTCTGAACTTCACGATCATTTTCATCTTTAAAATCTGCAGTAGTCATGCTCTGTTTAAGGAACGCCGTATTTTCATTACAGAAATGATTACGTTGAACATGGAGAATGAAATGTCAGCCTCACTTGTCCAGACTAATCTTCTCAGGAGTGTGCAGCACAACTGATTTTACAAAAGTGTTCTTCTGGAAGTTGCTTGCAATTACACATTTCCACCAGAGAGGTCTCCAAATCCCTGAACTTGCGTCAAGCTGCTTTAAATACTGTTTCTGAGGGCTCCCACCTTTGGCCCAAAGAATAAGGGGCCACAATGACATTAGGCCTCCAGAATCTCCACTGAGAAACTGACTCATGCTTCTGTTTATGGCCCATGCTTCAGTGGACCGACTGCGACCTGCTCAGAACGCTGCAGCTGGAGCACTAACACGTCCAAGAAGGAGAGAACATATTACACCTGTTGTGGCATCACTGCACTGTTTCTACCAGAGCTGTTAATCGATCAGCACCTTCATACATCTCAGTCAAAGAGCTTCTGTCACTGTGTACCAAAGCTCTGGAACACTTTACCGATGTTTATCAGACCACCTACCGTTAACGGTTTTAAAAAGCAATTAAAAAATATTCATTTCGATTATTAGTAATGCTAACTTCATCTTATATTTGTTGTGTTTCATTTATAATAACTTTGTCTATTAAACATAATATATTATAAAAATATATATTTTAAATTACTTTTTCTTTTTTTTCTTTTGTCATTGTATTTAGTGTTTTACTATTTTATTGTCTTATTTTGCGAAGCACTTTTGGCTACATTTTACATATAAAAGGTGCTGTATAAAAATATTATTATTATTATTATTATTATTATTATTAATATTATTATTATTATTACAGGCTGTTATATCGTTATCTATACCCATCCTTATGAGCCACATCTATTCTGCTAATCAGAAGTACAACAGGCTCTGTGATTGTGGAAGAGAAAACCATGTTGCATTCACTGCACCAGTGTGTGGAGTTTGTCTTTATATGTTTTATGCATATTTTTTCAAAATCTACAGTAGTCGTTAACCGTTTAGGTTCATTACAGTGAGCCACGTCACTTCCCTCTCCAACTGTTGGCCTTTTTATGAGCAATTTGCTAAAACACAGCAACTTTAGAAGCCCAGACTTAAGTGCTGTAGGTTAGTTCTGACCTGTGATCTAATACTGTTTCTAATACTTACTTAACCTATAAACATCAACAGATGTTATGATGTCTCATGTTTTTAGTATGTTACTTTTCTCCCAACCGTTATAATTATCTCCCGCTCAGTCTGCACTCGAGTACTGAATATCATTGTGACTGTGGACGTGACACTGGATTACCACAAATGTGCTACATATGAGCATTCTGATTGGCCACCACTCAGCTCATTTGCATAAAGAGAGAGCAGAGTGAGTAGGGAAATGCAGGTCGATGTGTCAGTTGTACGTGTATATTGTCGTCTCTTGTCACATTGTAGTGTTTTATGACACATTCTATTTAATGTAAATTGGCCAAAAAAAATGAAATGAAACAAAGGTTTCTCATTTTGCATGACAGCAATGTATACATCACATGTATGCGGCTTAAAGTTTCAGCACCCCAAACTTAAAGCAGCTTCTCACATCCCTGTTTATAATCTCTCTTGTTATTCAGTGATTTCTGTTACAGACACACTTGTTGGTCCCAGGGTGCAGCATTCAAACATCTTCTGACATTAAATAAAGCTTTCACAATCAATAATGTGTTTGAGAAGCATCATTAACTGTACATGCTTTAGAATAAATAGTTGTATTGCTGATAATAAATGTAAACTTACATATTTTGTTTCTCGTCCTAATAATCTTGGCGATGGAGATGATGTTAATTTCTGTGGGTGTAAAGAAAACAGACGGGTGTAATTATGTAAAGTCGAATGCAGAAGTTTGAATACCTTTTGTTAATTTTCTAAATGAAAAGTGAGCTGGGATTTTTCTGCACAATTTCTATTTATTTGTGGAGTTTAACACTTTGGGACAACATAAAATACAATATACCCCACGTTTAATGTTTTATTTTTTCCCAGTGTGTTAAACTCTGCAAATGCACAATAACATTGCATTAAGACGTGCAGATGTGTGTTCTTTGTAGAGCCCATGTGTCAAACATAAGGCCCGTGGGCCAAGTCGGGTCTGTGGCGCAACCCTATTTGGCCCGCAAACTTATTTTAATTTTCTATTAATATTAGCCCGTTTCACTGTGAACTGCACTACAGTTCCCAGCATGCACTGCAATGTAATGTGTGCTCCCACCCACTCCCTAACAACAATCTATGGGACAGCACCACAAAAAAAGATGAAAAGTCATGTGAAGCTAATGTAGTCTATTGTTTTATATAAAACAATTAGTATTTATTCGTTCAGGTATTCAGTGCCTATTTTTTGATGTTGTAGTTTTGGCATAATTTTAACAAACAATGGCCAGCTGAGGTCAAATGTTCAGTAAAAATAAAATAAAAACACAGCTGGCCCACAGATTTGTTGAGATTTTTAATACAGCCCTTTTAAGCTGGGCCTACACTACATTCACCCCTTGCAATAAATTGTCACAATCTGAAGCAATTTTCCAGGTCGGGAGCTCAATTGGAAGTGACTGATGGCACAGATGATCTAATAGTGTGAGAGAAGAAACGAGTAAATCTTCAGCCCTCCGATCGAACTCTGAAGTGATCAGAAACTCTCCAATATTGTCAGACGTGTTTGATATTTACGACTCCAAACGCTCACGAGTCCTGCAGCGTGAGATGGTCAGAGATTTACTTAACGAGTGACTCAAACAACAGCCAATCAGAGAGCTAGAAGAGCAGAGAAACAGGCGAAGAGATGCACGTGAACACTGCCCGAACGGCTAAGCACGGACACAGAAGAGCTGCGTATAAAAGACAGGCAGATAAGTGTGTGGATAATGTATGGATCCAGACATCAGGTCACTCATTATGTGTGTTATTCTCTCTCTTTGCCTGGTCGTCTAGCCTGAGCGCCCTCACAACAAAAAGACAGGAAATTCTGACGTTAAACTGCCGTTAAGTTTGTGATGCTCTCCGTTTCAGAAATCTGTTCAGGTTTTAAAAGTCGTGCAGTGAAGGCCCAGCCTTAGTGGTTGAGTTTGACACCCCTGTTTTGTGAGGAGGCGTGAACTTATTTTCACTTAGAACATGCCATTTTGACCAGGGGTGCCAAAACTTTTGCATACAGCTGTATTTTCTCGGACAAAGTGATCTCGGCCTCTAACGTAATGAGGCTTGTATCACAAAGATCTTTCTGATGTTTTAAATAAACATGGTAATATTTGAAGCCCTTTTTGGAGCTCAGTGTATGCAGTAATTTAAAATGATATATTCAGTTGTACTAGTCAGGCATAATTACACTGAACAGAGCTCAGGGGTGCACATAATTGTTAGTGCTCTAGCATGCTAATTACACACCCTTGGTGCCTCTGAAGCAGCAGACTTCACAGCAGGTTTGTCAGCAGGGCTTGATTGATGCTGAAAAAAATTGAGAAGCATTTTTTCAGTGTTAAAATATTTATATTGTGTTCATAATATATTTATATTATAATGTTTATATCAAATACTCTCACATTAGGCCTGTGAGACTGAATGATAACTCACTGTGGGGTTTGTGTTCTCTAATACTTCATCAATCGCTGCGTACAGCTCTGCGGACTGCTGTCTGAGCTGGGCAGGAGTGCACATCTACACACAGTAAACACAGCTCAGCAGCTCTACAACATTAATCTAGCCTCTTAAGCATTCAGACGGTATTTTCCTGAAATACCTCAGAATGAGGGTCCTCCCATGCAAAGTTGTCACCAGGGTCCAGAGACTCATTCTTCTCAACCTCATCATCAATTGCCTGCAGTGGAAAGAATGAACACTAGGATTAAACCTGAAGCTCATGCACAGCAGAATAGTGCATCCAAAAAATGCTGATATTGCTAACAATGATTAGGACCATCGCTATAAACTAGACATGTTGCCACATGCAAGTCTAAGTCGAGTCTCGAGTTTCTGAGGTGTGAGTCTAAGTCGAGAGTCTCTGTGGTGTGAGTCTGAGTCGAGAGTCTTTAAGGTGTGAGTCCAAGTCGAGAGTCTCTGATGTCCAAGTCCAAGTCAGAAGTCTCTGAAGTACGAGTTTGAGCCAAGAGTCTCTGAGATGTGAGACCAAGTCAAGAGTCTCTGAGGTATGATTCCAAGTCGAGAGTCTCTGAGGTATAAGTCTGAGTCGAGAGTCTCTGAGGTATGATTCCAAGTCGAGAGTCTTTGAGATGTGAGTCCAAGTCAAGAGTCTCTGAGGTATGATTCCAAGTCGAGAGTCTCTGAGATGTGAGACCAAGTCAAGAGTCTCTGAGGTATGATTCCAAGTCGAGAGTCTCTGAGATGTGAGACCAAGTCAGAGTCTCTGAGGTATGATTCCAAGTCGAGAGTCTCTGAGATGTGAGACCAAGTCAAGAGTCTCTGAGGTATGATTCCAAGTCGAGAGTCTCTGAGATGTGAGACCAAGTCAAGAGTCTCTGAGGTATGATTCCAAGTCGAGAGTCTCTGAGGTATAAGTCTGAGTCGAGAGTCTCTGAGGTACGATTCCAAGTCGAGAGTCTTTGAGATGTGAGTCCAAGTCAAGAGTCTCTGAGGTATGATTCCAAGTCGAGAGTCTTTGAGATGTGAGTCCAAGTCAAGAGTCTCTGAGGTATGATTCCAAGTCGAGAGTCTTTGAGGTATAAGTCTGAATTGACAGGCTTTGAGATGTGAGTCTGAGTCGAGAGTCTCTGAGGTACAACTTAAGAGTCTCTGAGGTATAAGTCTGAATTGACAGCCTTTGAGATGTGAGTCTGAGTCGAGAGTCTCTGAGGTAGAGGTCCAAGTTGAGAGTCTGTGAAGTATGGGTCCAACACAAGAGTCTCTCAGGTACGGGTCCAAGTCGAGTGTCTCTGAGATGTGAATCCAAGGTGAGAGTCTCTGATGTACGAGTTTGAGTCAAGAGTCTCTGAGGTGTAAGTCTGAATTGAGTGCCTTTGAGGAGTGAGTCTGAGTTGAGAGTCTCTAATGTACAAGTCAAGAGTCTCTGAGGTACAAGTCAGGAGTCTCGGAAGTGTGAGTCTGAACTGAGAGCCTTTGAGGTACAAGTCTAAGCTGAGAGTCTCTGAGGTGTGAGTCTGAGTCAAGAGTCTCGGAGGTGTGAGTCTGAGTCAAGAGTGTCTGAGGGGCGAGTCCATGTTGAGAGTCTCTAAGGTACGAGTCCGAGTCGACAGTCTCTAAGGTACGAGTCCGAGTCGACAGTCTCTGAGGCTCCAAGTCAAGGGTTTTTTCTGATTTATGAACTCAATTCTTGAACTCAATATGAGTCTGAGCTGAGTCTCTGGGGTGCCAGTCCGAATCGAGTCTCGATATTTCTGGTTGAGAGTCTCAGTCGAGTCTTGAGGCTCTGAGGTGTTAGTACAAGTGTTGAGTCGAGTGTCAAGGCTGATTTGGCAGCTACCAAGTGCTGGATCCCAGGCTGAAGAGAGGAAAGCTGCAAACGGAGTTCTGGCTGAATCTGACAGCTTTAGATAGATATTTACTGTGTTTGGTCTTCGAGTTACAGTGTAAGACCCCTGAGCAAACAGCCCAGAGCTGCAGTTACTCATTTTCTGCTCCCACTTAGGTGAAGTTCAGAGCTACATATTCACTACTGTATTTCCTTCATTGCGATTATGCTTGCTCTAAAAATCTAAACAAAACATAGCTAACATATTGCTGTCACATTTAAATTTACCTTTCTTAAACATGTACTGTAACTAATTTTTGCATTTAAAAAAAATGCAGTACTGTCACAGCCCACTGGGGGCTGCAGCCTACAGGCTGAAAACCACCTCTGTACATGTTTAAATAAAATCAGTTGGTTGAGGATTTAAATAATCTTTCCAGGCTTAACTGAGTATTACTTGTTTGTTTATCTTCCTTGATTCCAGAATTCAAATATCCCTGAAGGCAGATCATTAGTAATAAAAATGGATGTAGTTAGTTTATGTTCGTTTAACTTTGAGGAAGAAAAGAACAGACAACCCTAACTTCACCATCAGCTTCCAGTTTCAATGCAAAGTTTGACTAAGACTGTAATAAAAATAATAATGAACAATGTTTTAGGTAATGTATTATTCAATGTTATGTTTTATAATACTCTGAAAATAATCTTAATCTGATCTCAGTCTCGGCTACTCCTGTTCTCAGTCTTGAATACTAAAAGTCTTGGTCTTATTCCAGTAAAATCATGGGTGTGTACACTCTGTCACTGGGGTGGGACCCTCAAGGGTCCATCTCAGTACCTTTAGTCAGGGAACATAACTGAACCATAATCCACTGAAATGATATGTTCTAAGCTGTACTGACTCCACACACCCCGTCTCGACTCCAGGCTTTTATTTTACTGTTCTGTTTAAAACATTCGGTTATGAAAAGGTACAAATACGAACTTTTCACCTGGAGAAACTTATTTAAGGTTCACAATCAGACCTTAAAACCACTGTTGTACCTTTGAGGGAACATTTACACTGTTTGTACCTTGATGCATGATGAATGTACCTGCACAGAACCTTTATTTCTAACAGCGTATATCAGGCTCTTGTTCTTACTCTTAGAGAACCCAGTAGGAAAATAAAATATTCATTATCATCATGCAAATTCAGCAAGGAGGTAAATTTGAATCTTTTTTTTATGTAATAGCCCAATTCTTAATAATTATCATTATCATTATGCAAATGAGATCACTCTAACTGATCTCATGGGCGTGTAACTATCATAGGCCATGTGAGCATTTCTGGGAAAAGGGTTACTTTTACATGTACTTCAACACCTTGTTACTGTAGCTCTGCTTCAGGTGTTGCTGTAGGTTTGCAGTAAAAGGTTCACACAAATGAGATGGACTAATGAACCCCATCCCTTCTCTCACAGCGCCACACCGCAGATCTCTCACTGTCTCCTATATATAATACATGCTGACTTATCCATCCTGCAATGAATGACTTCAAAGAACTTTTTCAGAGACGTCTATATTTTAATTACAGTGTTCTTGGTGTGATGATGATGACGGTGACACCCTTGTTCTGTCAAAGCTTGAAGACCTTTAAGAAGCCTATCTTTTTAAAAGTATTCAAAGCACTGGAGACAGAGCTGGTGCCAAATTTAAGCTGGTATTTCTATTTACAGGCTGAATAAAGGGTTTCATGGTGTTCTTGAGATTGTTGATAGTGATAGGATGAAGCATAAGACATTTTGCAACAACGTGTTTTCATGCACTTTCATTTGTTTTGAAAGCAGTGTTGTAGTGATATTATAAGTCAAAAAGTTGTAAATCATAAATGAGAGTTGATGCTGTAGGCCAGCGGTCAGCAACCCAAGTGTTAAGACATTTTGTCCTTTAACAAAAATCAAACCACCCTGGGAGCCACAACATTTTATGTCCATTTTATTGAAGTAATGTTTTACCATCTTGGCTAAAATATGTCTGAATATGTGCTAGCTAATGTGCTAGTATAGGCTAAAAAATATAATGTAAACGGAAACACAGACTTACTTTGCTCTGCTTTAAGTTTTAGCTCAGCTTTAGCTGCTTTTCTCGCATCTCCGGCAGGAAACTTTTCCACAAAATTGGAACAGTTTCTTGTAAAATGTCTCAACGTTCGCTTTTTTACGAGGCTGAAGTCGCTTCTCATTCGCCAGCTTCTCACTCAAATGTTCTTGTTCCACCTTAAATGATGCCTGAGACACCCAGAATGTAACTGCTGCACCATTTAAAATGGAACGGGAGAATTCAAACAAGAAGCTGGCGAATGAGAAACTGACTTCAGCTTTGCAACTCTTTAGTGTTTGACAGTTTCTCACTGCAGATTAAACGTATCAGTAAACCAGCTGGAGTGATTATAAACGCAAATAAGTCCATTTTGTCCCCAAATTATCGATGTTCGTCTTAAATCTCTCTCTTTGCCGTTTCATTAGCTACTACCTAGATAAGATTCTTGTCTACATTGCTATGGTAACCAACAGTCTGCATGCCAATCTTCAAACTTAAAGGGTGAATTAGCAGTTCTACATTAACTCCATTGTTTAAGATGATTTACTGTTAAACTGTGTTGAACGATCAGCAGAGCTTTATTTTACTGTAAAGGAGGATTATTTTATTTTTACCTACAAATCTGATTCTGCTGTGGAGCCGCAACAAGACAGTAAAAGAGCTGCAAGTTGCCGACCCCTGCTGCAGGCTGACACACCGGCTTCAGAATGACTGAGGCTTCTGATTAGGGATGTTCACTCCGACTAATATTCAGGTCTCCATAAGAGTTAATGAACAAGGAAGGAATAAGCACAAAAAAAAACTTTAAAACTGAACTGAAATTATTTAAAACTGAAATTATATGTGAGCCTCCAGGCTTCCTATTTCCTTTTTAGGTGACAGCTCAGGTGCTGGGAGGCTAAAAGATTCAGTTGCATGAAAATTATCAGCACATAGAGGAATACATGTGAAAATGTTTTATTATTCAAAAATAGCCGAGGGAAATCAGTAACCTTGTAAGAAGACCAAACGAGGCTGCCTCAGACGAGCTCTCTCGCCTGATGACTACAGTCTCATTGACTTTCACTGCCTAAAGTCAATAAATGGCTGGATGAAAGAAAGCTGTCTCATTAATAAAGAAAGGCAGACGTTATTTGGTAGTAAGTAGCAAAGACCTGAGGTCAGTGCTCATCTTGGCACCAGAGCTTTGAGGGCTAAAGATCAGGTCGGAAGTCTCGGCACAATAATTGTTTCACAACTGAATTTCAGCAGGCAGGTAATAGCAATAATGAAAGCCTTTTACCGTGTCAAGAATATATCATAGTTAAACA